ACACACACACACCAAAATGGAAGAGGTTAATGTTTGAGAGATTGAGAGATTTGAAATAAAGGTCTATAGTCTGCTTTGAGAGAAAATTTGACTTTAGAGAAAGATGGCCAAGACTAATTTGTATGGTTAAATTTGATTCATATCTGAAGAAGAAGCAGAGTGATTAAAAGCTGAATTGGTCAGCTCAGAATAAAGAAAAAGAATATTGGAAACATGTAAAGAGTGGAATCCAAACCCTTATGGGGAATGGATGAACTTAATTAATTTTCAATATCCAGGCCCCATTTAAGCTAATGCCATTAAACATTTTATTTGTATAACTTTTCTCTTACTGCTTTAATCCTTCTAAAGTACAACTTTGTTGCAGGGAGATAATAGGCTATTTCTTATAGTTTTATTTATTAAATATTAGTATAGCTATATCTTTTCAGGATAAATCCCACGCTAAATGTTTAATTAAATTTTAAAATTATCCATTCATCCAATAGGTATTAATCAAATATTTATCAAGTGTCTACCATGCGCGAAGGTGCTAAATCTGTTGCTGGGTATTCAGTGGTGATCAGAATCAAACTAGTTTCTGCCTTCATAGAGCTTACAGTTTAGCAATGAAGGCAGATGCTAAAAAATAACCACAAAATAAATATATAATTAAAAGATGTGATAATTAAGTGTAGTCAAAATCAGAATCTTAGTCCACAAATAGGGAGGCAGATCCTAGACCAAGGCAAAATCATCAGTATAAAGAGGATTTGTGGAGAAATCTACCAGTTGTTTTCTAACACATTCTTCTGCATTATTTTCTCTATTTAACTTAATTTAATTTCATAAATAGTCCATAACAGGACAATGAGAAGCTGAAATTATATGATGCTTGTGCAGCGTTCTACATGGAAGTTATTAGATACATGTTAGCCTCTTTCTATTTTTCCTTCTTCAAATTTTGTCTTTAAAAGAATATTTTTCTTCTATGGCTTAACAAATAATTTTTTAGCAGGTGCCACAGAATGGTTCTGTAGTTGAAAACATGAAAAAGAAAAATAAAGACTCTCATGATTATGTACCTAGATTTATAAGAGTTGATCACTTCTCTACAGTACATAAAATACATACTTTTTTTAGAATTATGAGAAAGCTGCAAAAATAAAGATATTCCACACAACAGAAAAACAATTCACTATTAAAAATATCTGATGACATGAAATAAAGGAATTCTACTGATAATTTAAATATTTTAATAGTATAATTTAAATATTTTAATAGTATAAAGGGAGTTTATAATTTTCAGTTCATCAGGTATTAAAAGCCTGGAATTTATGCATATTAAATATGTCATATAATAATTTTATTTCCATTTTATTAAACTTTCCTATGTTCTTTATTCTTATAAAAATAAAACAGTAATGAGAAAAATAAGTCACTAAGGAAGTAAGATATGTTGCTATAATAAATGAGAATGAACATACCTCATTTGTGTTAAAGATCAATATGTTCTCTTACTAAGATGCTCTACTGATAAAGCTGATAAATGTAATAATCAGGAAAGTAAAATTCACCTACAGCTTCAAATATGCTTTCATCTTTACACATATATTTAATTCATGGTAATTTTATCTGATACTCCACCACCTCAATATGGGCAAACTCAATGGGATGTATTATTTAGTATGATTTCCATACTACTCAATTCCACCATTACATAAAATCTATAGATTATACAAAGTAGAAGACAAGCCCCGAGATTAAAAAATAAAACAGACTGCCTAAGATAAACCATTTCAAATATTCCATTTTGCTATCAATACATTATATTATTTCTTCTGTAACTTATTCTTCCTTTGTCACTCTATAAAACTGCTTTTGTTCTCCTTTCCTATGATTGTATCTGATCATTTTCTTCTTGTGTTCAGAAGATCTTGCTCCCATATATATCTTATTTAACTCTCACACCCTCGTCACTCCATTCTTTCTTTCTTATTTTCTAAAATCACAGGTTTCTGCATCTTGAAACGTTTGTTCTTCAGAGCAACATTGTTTTCCAAGAATCCTTTCTCAAATTCTTCCAATTTCTCTGCACCTGCCATCTCCAATATTTTCAACATTCCCTTTCTTAACACTCTGAAAAGTGGCTGACTTATCTATCACCCTATTAGAAGTAGATCCTCTGTATGATGATCAAATTCCAGGACTGCTTTTCAGAACACAGCTTGGTTTATTCGAAGCAGTCTCTTGCCTCCCTCAGCAGATCATTTTTTTTCCTGGAGGCCCCCTCCTGCCTTCCCTGTCACTTCCCTTTCCTAGACGTAGGTGGGCCCTTGGTCTTCTCTTGCTCTTCTTTTAGACACTTAAAGGCTTTAAATATCACCTTTGTTTTTGTTAGGTTAACTACTCCAAAATCTTTGCCCCTGGTCCTTGTCTTGCTCTGGACCTAAGGTAGGTCACATCATTTTAGCACCTCTAGCAGAGCCATTGGCACTTCCATACTTCACAGGTTGAGCCCACCCTCACGTCCCTTGCCAGGTTTGGTTTTGCTCCTCAGCTCCTCACATGCAATGATAGAACTGCCACTTCCCCATCACCTGTGCTTGGAAGGCTGGCATCATCTTGGTTCATCCTTCTCCATTATTCCCTCATCTCATCAAATGCCAACTCCCATTAATTCTGCTCCTATACTAGGTACTGTATTCGTCTCCATTCCACTATTCCTCCTGTTCCCCACTAGCTCCTGCTCTCCGGCATCTCTTGCAGATCAATGTAACAGCTTCCTAAGAGGCCTCCTGTATTACATTCCTTTCTTTTGCCACATCACTGACACAAAGCTACCAGACAAATCATCTGAAAGACTCACTTAAGACTCCTGTGTTTAAATGCGTCCCACGTAATGTCTAAGATGTGAACAGTATGAAGACCCTCCATGAAATGGCTGCAACCTGTTTCCAACTTTATTTTCTTCTACACTGTCCAACATCAAATGTCAGTCAAATTGAATTCCTGTTTTATTGTATTGTGTCCTTTTATCCTGACTGTGATGCTCCTGATGAACTACTAGTTCTGAAAGCCCTTTGATCATCTCTGTATTTGTACTCACTATTGTTCTTTCAAGGCTTAACTCAGGTTTTACCTCCCCCTGAAGGCTTCCAGGAATGAAGTACCATTTATGGAAAAATTACTATATGCTAAGCATATATAGCTCTATGTGTTAATGATTTCATTTCAAACTGATAAGAACACTTAGTTTCAGATGGAGAAACAGGCTCATAGACAATAAGTAACTTGCCCTGTCTCAGAGTCAGTATATGGCAGGCAAACCTGCAATTCTAGCTGAAGTGTTCTGTCTGGGTCTTGCCCTCTACTTATTGCCCTCTGTAATAACTTCAACTTTGTGTTCATTCCTTATAACATTTTTACTTTGTACCTCATTTCAAGTTATCAAATTGGATATCAAATTTTCTAGTCATATAATGAAGAACTCAGAAAAATTCATGGTGCCATTATTTACTTAATAATCCTCGTGCTTGGATAGATGATGAACACACAATTCTCCTACTCAAAAACCACGTCTCTTTACTATCAACTTCATCATATCTCCTCTTTTCCAACCGAACTTAAAAGCCTTCTGTATCTCACAGCTTTAAAATTAGATGCAGTTGTCTTTCTTTGGACATTGTTTTCTATGATGCCTCAGTGTGAACCTATTACTCTAATTAGGATCAACTATACAATCTCTCAAATATTTCACTCACTGCTACCATTTTCCTCTACTTTCTGATGTTTCTCTTTCAAGGAACATTATGTGACTCTTCCCAAACCAGACCTTATACTTCTTTAAATGTTCAACTAAAAAATATCTACAAATCGTTCTTATAGTTAACGTATTATTTCATCAATTAAAACTTTGCTGCAAATACTATCATCACATGCATATGTTATTTGGGCTATGTGTCAAATCTTCACAGATTTCGGAGTTTGCAAAGTATTATGACTTATGCTCCAAAGCTCTGAGCATACTATTCAATGTGCATTACTTTGAAATAATGGCAGTGGATCTTCTAAACTAAGGTTACGCTCAAATAAACTAGAGTAGTTACTTTATTATAGAAATTTAAAAATATAGAACAGTTTTTGAAAAAAAAGTTTTTTATCTTTATTTTTTTCCTTTCACAAGAAGTTGGTTCTATATTATTACTTCAATCAAAAATATCTAAAAAAATCATTTACTGAGTTGTGACTTAGAATTGGTCAATGATATGATGGGCTGGGTGTTTAGAGGAGCCTTTTAATTAATGGATATTGAGGTAAAGATCCCCCTAGTGCTTCCTTCTCGGGATGGTAAAAGCATTCCATTTAAGTCTTACATGACCTTGTTTTTTTCCACATGACTTATCTCTGGCAAGAACACAGAAATGCATTCAGCAGCTGCATGCAAAATATGTATGCATTACTTCATCAAAATAATTTGTTTTTGATGGAGGTGGGACTTGACTTGACATCATAATATCCATTTTATAGTGTGCATTGGACTAACCATTCCAACAAAGTAATGTAACTTCATTTTAAAACATGAGCTCTTGAGAAGTCAGGACCTCCTCATCTTGTTAACTTGCTTCTATGGTTTATTCTTCCCAGCTGAGTCCCTCTTTGTATCCCTACTGCTTTAAGCTAGAAAAGGACAAAAGCAAATATTCGGTCCCCAAAGTTTGAACTAGGTACATCTCTTTTTTCTCCCTAAATAGCCTAAGAACACTTTTTTTTTAAAGGGGAAGAAAAAGCACTATTCTTCCTTTAAATGTATTCCTTTAATTCTGCCTATGGAGAAAAATCCTAGGCAATTTAACAAGGTACTTAATTAAACAGAGTAAGGGTCAATACACTTCTGAAGAGAACATTTGTCTAAGCTAATTGATCAGATGTGCCTTTAATAAACCCAGAATCTCCTAAAAAAAAATCATGGTTTGTTCAGTGGGGAGGTAGAGGGATAGGAAAGATCGCAGTGCACATACATTTCTGTGATAGTCTCTGGCAGGTTTGTGGGGATCTCAGTGAGACCTTTACCGCGACAGTCTACAATATTGTTGCTACAGGTACAAGCAGCCGGGCAGTGCAACACACTACAGGAAGGAGCCATGAACGACTGATGACCTACAAGAGAAACACACGATTAGATTTCTCCTCCCAAATTTCATAATTGTGAAACGTTCAGACTGAGGTCAATTAGCAAAATATGTGACAGAAACAAACTTCTCTAAATGCTCAACTACAAAACATCCTTTATTTCTAAAATGTGCGGTAGGAAACATGCAGTTACATTTATTAGATGAAGCAAATGAGATTTTGACAACTGGTCATGAAAGTGGCAGTTTTCAAAATTTGAAAAAAAAATTGTGAGAGGCTAAGTTCATATTCAAGAAAAGAATTCTATTCAAAGTTTTGAGTTCCAAAAAAAGCAGCAACTTCAGATTAATCTCTATTCATTTTTAATAAGCTTAAATAAAGCTTGATTTTTTTTCCAAATTTATGTAGTTTAATTTACTTTGTCTCAAAAAAAAAGAAAGTAAGAAAAAAGAAAGAGAAACAAATATGTAAAACTCCCATCTTGGTAGACATACCATTGCTCAAGTTACTGTATGCCAATAAAGTGGGAGGAAAATTAGATAATACTAAGTTTGATGTCTGAATAGGTTCAAAATTACTGCTTTCTTTGAAGTCATTATAATAGATAGTCTGAAGTCATTCTTCAATTGTTAATCTATATTATTCTTTTTGCTTGCTACACATGATTTAAAATTTGACCATATATATATATATATTTTACTAGTCAATTTTTAGAAACAAAACCACTTTGCAAAGAGATTTTTCTGTTTGAAAGATGAAGGACAGAACGCCAGCAGGACCGTAGCAAGCAGGTTTTCTGGAGGAAGCGGAAACAGCCCTCACAACCTGCAGGGGAAAGGCACTTGGCGATGCTGGTGTGCCAAGAGGCTGTGAGCTACCTGCTAACCCTGCACCTCCAGACAACCTCTCAAACTACAACAATGTTATCAGTCTAGAAAAGAAAGTTCAACTTGCCTTCTTCCTCATCTAGAAAACAGGGAGGAAAAAGTGAAGAGAGAAAAAAAGTGGTTAGTAGCGAATTGTTAGTCATTTCATTTTTTAATTCTTTAAAAAGCAATCAGACCTATTGAAAACTTCTCATAACATTGTAAGAGAACTATTTTAGATCATAAAAAGCATGGAAAAATACATGCAAAGTTCTAAAAGGTAACAATAAAATAGAATAAAGTACTAGCAATGTGTCCTCACTCCTTCAGAAACCATGAACTATTTATACATTACATTGGTCCCTTTGTATTTTGGGGTATTGGTTCCAGAACCCCTGTGAATACCAAAACCTGTGGATGTTCAAGCCATTTATATAAAATGATGTATAATTTGGATATAATATGTGTACATTTTCTGTTATGCTTTAGATCATCATTAGAATAATTATAATACCTAATACAACATAAATGCTATGCAAGTAGTTGCTATATTGTATTGTTTAGGGAATAATCACAAGAAAAATCTGCACATGTTCAGTACAGATGCAATTTTTTTCCACATATTTTCAATCCACAGTTTGTTGAATCTGTGATTGAAGAAATAAATCACAGCTATGGAGAGCCAAGTACATATGTATTTTATAAAAATTGTTTTATTATATCTTCAAGTTATTCCTGAAGCAAAACTAGACCTATATGTATAAAATACATTATGTACCAATATGGATGTGTGTGTGTGTGTGTGTGTGTGTGTGTATACCGACTAGATCAAGACCCTTAGATTCAACCATGTGAACTTGAAGATTATTTTTCATCATATTTTAATCTCTAACACATAGATAAAATTACATTCTCCTGTGGTTGTTTTGGACAGGAAATGACATAATTACATGTGAAACAGAGAAAACAGAACTCAGTAAATGCTAGCCACATGTTATCTTACATAGCACATCTTATTTTTGCTTTCAGCTTGTTACTTAAACAAGTCATGTATTTGTCTTAAGTAAAACTGAATTATTAATATATTTTTTAACACAAAAATACTTCATCACTTTGCATTTATAGTTGAGTTTCTCTGAATTTCTAAGCAGGGGTCTAGGATTAGCTAAACCTTTTTCAGTTATTAATATAAAAGTAGATTTAAATTGCTACCTAATGGGAAGATAAAATGTTGTAATTAGAACTACAATCCAGGAATTTCCTATATTTTCCCCAAATAAAATCAGAAATATCTTAGGGACAAATAACTATTAGTTGCCAATCATGTACAAATACCTTAAGACAGATTATTATCATTGCTATAAAAGAAGTTCTCTGTAGAGTGATTAGTGCAGGCTTCCACATGTTAGTGAACAGCCCGCAAACCTTGGAAGCATGCATTCTTTACATCCCTTTACATAAAAGCAGCCAGAAATACTAGAACATCTTCGTTCTTTCTCCCTTACCGCTGCAGACAAATTCTCGTTTTTGAACCTCTGCGACATTATGGCCTCTCAGGTGAGAAGGGCCCATGCACTGAGTGTACAGGCCCACCCGGGGCCTTTGGCGAAGCCAGTCGGAAAGCCAGGCCAGGTGGCAGTCACAGTACAGGTTGTTTGAATGGAGTCGGCTAAATGAGAGGAAAGAAGATTAAAGCAAGAAAACAGAAGATAGTCATTTCAAAACTTGAAACATTAGTTATAATATATCCTTATTTCCTAATATAGAAATAGATTAAACTTACCAACCTTCAGTCTAATTATTTTTTGAAAAACTAAATTGGCTCACAAGCACAGAATCAAGTCCTTTTCTTTATCCTGAGCTAAACAAATACACAGAAATTGGAAAAGGACAATAAAATTATTTTGCTTATGTTCATTCAAATGGGTAAAGAGAAAATAATCAGTTCAAGGATAAGTGCTCTGCAGTTCCAACCATGCTGAGAGCAAATGGAGATCCGATGTGGGGGAGTGGGGAGCCAGGGAAGGGAACAAGTTATAAAAGCTGTGACTCTCCGTCAGAAGTATCAGTAAGTCCTGCCATTATTAGTCTCTATAGAAACTGCTTGCAAAGTCCTTTTAGCAGGCCACTTTTTGCTGAACAAGACAGAATAATAATTCAATATAAAATGCTTATTTTTCAAATCCCTATTCTGATTTCCTTCTTTTTGTGTTTAATCACAGAAAAGGGATTAGCTGATTTTGGCTCTTGGGGACCTATCCCCAAAGAGCACAGACTGAAATTAAAAGGCGTAAGTGGCTGGGAGAGAAGGAACTGCATCCCATCTAGGTTGGCAAGATCCATACAAGATCAGGGATTGCTTCCAAGTGGCAAATGGCACTTCTCCATTAATAAAATATCTGACAAATGTATCCACTAAATTAGGTAAATGACTTCAAACTGGCTTTTATGTTTTCTCAAACTAAAGGATATTCAAAGCTATAAATCAAAGGACCATTCCCAGAATCATCTATGACATAGTAATACCATTTTAGTCCTTTTTAGCTGATGTGTTCAATTCTAACCCAATAACAGTAATGGATAGTAAAACATGGAACTCAGTCCAGAAAGATAATTGGACTATAAAAATGGAATTTTTAAGTAGCAGTGATAGTATAGAATAATGAACCAACCAAAGCAAGGGGATTTAAAGTTAAATGACTGCTTTACATTCTCCTTGAGCCTTTGGATAGGGAACAGACTGTTTTGTATCAAAAGGAGAAGCCATGCCACTGAACAAAAAATTATATTTTGGGAAAGCTAGGTGACCTCTGGCTTGGTTTGCTTAGAAGTCAAAGTGCTACTCTTTGGATGCCACAGTGACACATTCTTGTTTCAAATCTTGTTTCCCTCTAAATCTACCACACTGAATGATTCCAATTAGGTGTGCATAAATTTGGAATGAGAAAAAGGATATAAAATTTTAAAAAGCTGATCAGTGAGACAAACCAGTGTGTGTCTACAAAAAAATAAGGAACATTATCAGAACTGTAGATAATGGATGTTTTTACAAGTTTCAATTCTGCAAAGACTGAAAATATGATCAGTTGCCTTTTTTTAAAAAAAAATTGACTAATATAAATAAGAAACTAATGTTTTAAAACTATAGTTTGAGTGAACTGGACTATTAATAAGATATATTAGTTTCAATCTGATAGCCCCAAGAAAACAAAATTTACTTATGCTCATATACATTTATAATTTCTTTATTTTTACTAACTCATATTCCAAGGGAACTATAATGATGTATTATCACATACAGAATTTGATTTAAGTGAGAAAAAGATGATATTAATTTGCTATTGCTGAATTCGTTAAGAAGCTAGCAATTCAACTGATTTTAAAATTTTTTTTAGTTGTATATGGACTCATATACAAACTTATTTATTTTTATGTGGTGCTAGGATCGAATACAGTGCCTCACACTTGTGAGGCAAGTGCTCTGCCACTGAGCTACAACTCCAGCCCTCCATAAATTTTTTTAGAGAGAGAAAAATAAATATTTTTTCAGTTATAAGATTTTATAAGATGAGAAACATTTTGAAAATCCAATCGAAACAAATGTGCCTGACTTCAAAACATTTTATCCTCAAGAAGTGCAATGCCTTGGCTTTTTTCTTAACCATTTCACACATGTTATATGTAATATATTTTTAGGTCAAGGTGATTTTGAAACCCAGTTCAAATAACATTTACCTGTGAAAATGCTACAACTAAATACTCCCATCCTGAGCTTTAAAGAATAATTTTTTTTAAGAGAAAAGTTGACTATACCTAATAATTTGTTACAAAATCATATTTAGTCACCAAAAGTATCTTAGTGTCCATCTTAACCCCTGAAAAGATATTTTTAAATATAAATGCTGACACAACCTTAATTATAAAAGCACAAGAAGGTGATGCTGTAATTTTACATTACAAAGAATGTCTGAGAAGCAGTTGAGCTTTATTAGGTCTGCTTGCAGTGCAGTAATAAAATCATAAAGATTTCTCATTTATCATTTTTGACAGCCAATCAAGGAGTCTTCTATTTCTTAATGAAATGTGACCTCTACAAGAGCTCAATGTAAACTTTTTTGTTGTTGCTGTTTTACTCCAAGCTTCCCCTAATGCATACACTTCAAAGGAAATTTTCATAACAGTTCATTTACTAAAGTATCATTTCTAGATTTGTTTTTAAAGTTTTGCTTTCCTTTTTGTCTCCATAATGAATTAATTGTCCTGTTTTGGGCCTATTAGAAACCGCCCTTGAAGAACATCCTTAATCAATTAAATATGTCTTCATGAATATTGTGACTACTTACAAAGTCCTAAGTTTAGGCATATGGTTGAAACTTGCCACAGAAAGCCTAGTAATGTTGTTATTGTTGAGAGTGCTGTAAAATAAAAGTTAGAAATTTTAGATATGAAAGAAATTAAACATTTTATATATTAGATAGGTCAAAAACTTCTACTATGTTCATGTAGAACAGCTAACTACCTGGTGGAGAAGTCATAGAAAATGCACTATTTCACAGTGATAACAACTCTTATTCTTGAACATATTACTATATATTTGGTTTTATTCGACATTTACTACAAGTGTATGGCTTTTCTAGGAACAATCCTGGTTAATCCTTTTCTAGGAACAATCCTGGTTAATTACATATCACCTTGGGCACCTTGTGCATGTATGTCTACTTACGAAATGGGTTAAAGAATTAACAGGACAGTCATGGTTGATAAAAACTGCACAGTTACCTTTCTTTGGAGAGGTATCATGTATATATTGCCCATGGGTAAATAAATACACTTGAATTTTCCAACTGAAATCTCATAGCAGCAACACCATACCATTAGTGTCATCTTAGAACACTGCACTAATCATTCTCTACTGTGGATGTTGGCTGCTGCTAAAATTTGGGTAGAAGGACACCATATTTGCATCAAGTGGGGATGAAGCAGTGTTATCTAGCAGTATATTAAAAAAAAAAACATCATTTACTATAACAGCTGTAGTCACAGCAGCACATATTGTCCTCCATTTAGTGTAGCATGATAGAAATGATGGCCTCTTGAGGTATACTAGGAAGATGAGTGGTCAAAGAAGTTACAGTGAAAATAAATATATCTCTTGCTTGCTTCACATTTTTCCTATATTTCCCCAACATGAGCTTTGCTAGTTTATTATTATTCAATATTATTATTATTTTGAGGGTGGGAAAAGAGATCAGTTGAAAACAAAATTATTTGAGAAGAGAAACCTAGTTCAAATATCAGGATTTTTAAAATGGCATTGGAAAAAGATCTCATTCTGCTTTAGCATAGGAAAATTCCAGAAGCTTTTGGAGAACATTAGCTGACTAATTCTATCTTTTAAAGGTCCTACAAAAAGCAGTCATTTTTTCCTAAGTGATTTAATTCAAATCTCCAGGTTAGTTCTTACACATCTTTCAAAACTGGATGGTAAAGAGAGTCAATGAATATTATGGGTCTGTGACCAATATGCCCATTCACTGAGAAATTTAAGTCAACCCCTCAATGTTGCTGGAACATCCCATATGCCACCACTCATAACCACAATGCTCAGCTGGTCTGCAGCGGTCACACACACATATATTCAGCTTAGCACAAATAGACTCAATTCGTAGATTGTTTGAAATATTTCAGTTAGTGGCAAATATTTTAAAAATAGGGGAACTGATCTGAAATTTTCCACTCTGGCTTCTTTTGGAAAAACGGGATTGTTTGGCAGAATCTCCCACTGCAGTAGGATGACAGTCCACTGGAGTTGAACATTGGCTGTAACAACACAGGATATCACTGCCAGTTTAGCAAAGTCCTCACCACCTCCAGCTGTCTGATCTCTCTCTCTCCCCTTCTCTTTTTCCCCCACCCCTATCTCCTATTGCATTTCTATACCCAGTTCCCATTTCTTACATTTGCGTTCCCTGCCTGGTCCTCATTGGCAAATAAATTTTCAAACCCTAGTGCAAACCCTTTTCCACTATCAAATTTCATCCACCTGGACCATCAGTCCTACCTTTTGTCTTCTTCAGAGGTCGTGCCCTCTTTAGTCACCACCTCAACCAACTGTCAATCTCTTCCCTTCATAGATTCTTTTTGCATTTCCACATGTTATTGATACATCCATATAACTGTTCCACCACAATCTTATCACAACTAGACTTCTCCAGAGGAAAAACAAATTGTCTGTCCTTAATCTTATTAACTCTAAATTTTTGTGATTTATCTCCCCAATTGTTTCAATGTTCAGAGGGGTTTGCTTTCAAATTACCTCTTTTCTTTCCTTCAAATTTATGCTGATTTAATATGGCCAAAATTTTTAGCATATGTGGCATTCTGTAATATGACTTAGGGAATATATTTTTAGGGTAGCTTATACATAGTGGACACATGAAATTCAAAGAATGATTTCTCGAATTCCCATGTAAAGAAGTGTTTTCATTGAATGCTAAAGTATGCAACTATCAATTTGAAACCATTTCTCAAAATACTAGTTCACATAATGCAACAGAAGAGATATATTATCTTAGTATTTTATTCAGTGTTTGTGCTAGCAGAGCATAATATTGACATTGCAAAAATAGGGTTGAAAAGATCCCACTGCACTTTATTTCATTTTTTTTAGTTGTAGATGGACACAATACCTATATTTATTTTATTTTTTATGTGGTGTTGAGGATCAAATCCAGTGCTTCATACATGCGAGGCAAGCGCTCTACCACTGAGCTACAATCCCAGCCTTCTCACAGCACTTTAGCATAGGGAAATTCTAGAACCTTTTAGATTAAAAACTATGTGAAAATGACAAAATTAAGTTAGTTTTAAAATTAGTAAGTAAATTGTATTATTGGCATGAGGACATGTACGAAGTGGTTTTGTTCAATTCCAATTCTAAAACAACAGAAATTAACTGTTAAACTTATTTATTTGTGGATGCTTTCACCCATGTGTAAGTCTACTTACATGCTCAAAATCAAGATTTTCTATTTGTAATGAGAATATATTCTAGAACAAAAGACATCTTGGTGTGTAAATGCAGAATGTTAGCCTTTAGAGTCATGGAGTACCTTCACACTTGGATTGTGACTTAGTCTTTCTTATTCCCTTTGTGACAAGCAAGCATAATACTTGGCAGAAAGTTTGGTATTTGATGGATATGAATTGCTGTTTCAATTCAACTAAAATATGCCAAATTTTGGACAAGAAAAAAACACATCCTAAATATAGTCAAGGGGTATAATTCATTTCTGAGTCTAGTGACCTATCCCCAGAAAATAAAAAGTTTCCAAAGTTATTTTTGAGATGGTATCTGAATATTAAGAAAATGTACAGTAAATTCTATCTCTCCTAAACAGAATTCCATGAAATGTCACTTCCCCATGAACACACAAGTGCCGAATTACCTCCTTGCTCTCGTTACCTGAACTTCATTCACAATCTCTATCACAATGAACATTTCTATCAGTGACCCAGAGTGAGTCTCCATCTTCTCCTGTTTGGCTTCAGTATAGTGACATGTTCATATGTCCATTCAATTAAAATAAATTTAATCCCCAAATATTGGGAATCTGAAATTTAAGGTAATGTGCAGGATCCTATTTGTTCATTGTTCCACAGGGAAAGATACTGCCTAAGATGTCAAAATGGTAGTTTTTTCAGTGCTGCATCCAATTTTGCTTTAATTTCTTTATAAACTAATTTGTCTAAAGGTCATTTAAAGTGTGAAGATTTTGAAAAGTTAATATGCATATTAAAATAATATCTGCTTGAATTTTCAAAATAAAAAAATAAATCTTTTTAAAAGACACATTTTCTTATATCAATTGGTAAGTTAAAGTATTTTCTTCAGCAAACAGGTTCTGGTAATGATGTATCTCTTTAAGGCATATATATTAAGGTCTTTAAGAGATTTCCCATCATTCTGGAATCCTATTTTAATATTGTGAACTATCATTCTTTGGTTATCACTCCATTTGTCATGTTTTGATATACTTCATGATAATGGTTCTTGCTTAAGTCACCTTTTAGTTATTTTGCTAAGATGACCAAAACAATTGTACACGTTGATTATATTTCCAAAACCTTACTACTTTCAGAAATAATCATTTCTGTCAATAGTAAGTAAGCACATATATTGTTATTATATTGTGATTGAAAGGCTTCAGTGCCTGGCATGGTGTTCTCCCCTGATTCCCCACATACATATCTAACATCAATATAGATATATACTTAATACATATGTAATATGTATACATATATGATTCCATGCCTAATAAAGTTTGAAGAATTTTTACCTAATAAGAATAACAAAGTTCTTCATGAGATTTAATTCAACCAAAATATTTAACAAATTTTTCACATAGCAACTGGGACTATTCATGTATCTAGTTAGAAGCACTGACTTATCACAGATTCTTTGGTTTGATCAGCTCTGTTCCATGAAGTAACTCTTGCCGCAGTCTCTTCATACATGAAGTTAAGTGACATTGACTGTGAGTTTGACATCAGGCCACTGCCATGATATCATAGTTGCATTCTAATTGTTCTGACTTTGAAGTAGCAAGAGTGAATTCCATATGTTAAAAATGACTCTGGTGCATGATTTGAAAATTGGCCTTATTACTAAAAATGTACATAAGCACTGTGAATGTTTTCCTTATAGAAAAAGTTAGACTGATATCAACAGATAAAGGTGATCTCTCTTATAGTTAGAAATTAGTAAATAATTTTGTATTTCAAAATTTATTTCAATCAATTCATTCATTCATAAATCAAAATAGTAGCTCAGTACATGACACAGCTAGAAATTCTACACATTGACTTGCAATAAAAATAAAAATCACAGATAAAATATTTCTAACATAAGCCATTCTAGTTTTTTTTTTTTTTTTTTTTTTTTTTTTTTTAGTTTAGTTCATTCCTGAAACTCAAAAGCAACAAATCCTTTCTTCCGGGGGATAGGTTAGTTATTTCTGAACAACTTCCAACAAATGGACTAAAAATTCAAAACCTCTTCACATTTAGTTCAAATTGGATTTCTGAGAAAGTTGTGTCAAGAATGAAACAAAGTATAGGAAAATATTTTCTATACTTTTAAAAATCTAGAAATGCGAATCTTTTACAAAAATTTTCAGAAACATACAGGTGGCGTGTAGTGCTTTAGTAACTACAGTATTCATCAATATTGAATTTTGTTTAATTAGTTATTTATGAAAATTATTTTACTAAGTCAAAATTTAATAGAGATTACTTAGTTGCCTCTGATTTTGTCAGATATGCCTATCCAGCAAGGAAAGAGAGGATGCCAATTATAATTCAACTCTGTATGTTGTACATTACAAAGTCAGTAGTGAAGACTTTGAAATGGACCTAGTGAGCGGTTTATTAAAATCAAAAGTAGATTTCAAAGTGACCTTACAGACACAATGTTGAATTACCAGTTAAAAATTGTTTTTTAAATGAGAAAACACCTCTTTCATTGTGCAATAACTAGAAGATATACCAACATATCAGTTACTAAGAGGTTTACTTTTTGATGTTCTTGTTCCTACAAAATTCATTTAATGTTAACATTTAGCAATTTGGGGAATCCTCACAAATCGTGTGGCTCCTAGGAGAATATTTTTATCATGAAGAGAACAAATTGAGTCTTAGATATGAAATTTTCTCTAATTGTATACACATGACATGCAAGATTTTGCACATATACTTCTTGATTTTCTGTATTCATCAAGAGTTATTTAAGGTATCTCTCTAGGAGAGCATTTTGACACATTGTTTTAAACTAGCAGATAGGTCCCATGTTACCACTCTAAAGACACAAAGCTCCTGTTAAATGAGTAAGAGCAAAAAGCTATACTCACAGCACTTCCAGGTCCCGGAGAGCCCTGAATGCCCCATCTTCAATACAGCTGATCTGGTTGTAATCCAGTTGCCTGTTAAATAGATTAGAAGAATATATGTAAAAGGAATAAACGGTAGCAAGGGTAGGTGACAGGAAGACTCCTGAAGGGTCTGTGAAGCTCTCACTAACTGAAACGCTCTCACAGACACACTCATCTGCTTAAGAATGTCACAAGCCATTCTGGCCACTCTGGATGCTGCGACTGAAATCTCTTTTTGTTCTGAACTGTCTGTGCAAATAGCAGCCCTTGGAAAGCTCCAGTAAATAATAACTGCACCTTATATTAAATGCCATAGGAATGCAATTTCATTACATCAAGAAAAGCTATCCATTAAGAGCTTTCAGCGTCATCTTGCTGAAACAATTTCATTAAGGTAAAGGACTGTAAATCACTTAATGTCACATGCACCCCCTCAGTGACCTAACAGAATCCATTTATCAGAGAAGCCCAGCTGCATGTTAATTTCACTATCCTTGGCAAGGAAGAGCAAGAGTACTTTTAGGTTTCGTTCCTTTAAAAGCAGTTTCCCTTCCACAACTCCAAATCGAGAAAGAGAAATGACATTCCATACATCTCCCTATCCTTAACCTCAATACACTTTAGAAAGCTAGCAGTTGTTTTATATTAAGAGTCCCTATTCTTATAAATTGCACTTTATCATTATTTGCAAATTCTCTGCAGCATAAATATAGCACACTTTTGAGTTAAGAAACTTTCATAATTATATCACTCTCCAAGAAAATAAGTTTATGTATTAAGAAATTGATAAGAGTTTTGCTTTTCTCCAAGATGCTAATCTCAGTCCCAAACACTAAGAAACACATACTACAGGCAAATTGTTAAAATGCTAAATTTAACTATAATAAAAAGTTTAAATGCTGCATAGGTATATTCTAAATACATAATTCACACAAATGAATTTTATCTAATAGTCTATGTACTCTGTGTTAATTTTTAAGAGAGAGAGAGAGAGAGAGAGAGAGAGAGAGAGAGAGAGAGGATGTTTCTACCCTGGTTTGCTTTTTTTTCCCACTGCTCTTTCTTTTTGATATTAAAGACTTCTGTATTCATCTTGAGGAATCTACTTGATTGGAATAAATAGATAATACTAATTCCTGTCTGTACTGTGTCCCTTTTTCCAAATAAATAGTCGTTGTTTAAATACCGTAGCTTGATGCTTAGAGATATCATTATTCCTGTAAAGCAAAAGTTATTTTAATGCTTCACTTGAGATAGAAACAAAACATTTCATGAAATAGGTGAGTTGTCAGCTCTACCTGCACTGCTGAGAGAACACAGATGTACAGGTTAAGGTTATGATCATCATATGAATGAATCTCATCCTTGTTTCAAGTTCAAATTCCTGAAAAGGGCTAATTCATATCTGAGGTCTTCTCTTAAAGAACTGTTGAAATATTCCCATAAAATAGTGATTTCTCTCACAAGACTACTGAATAAACCAATGATTTAATCTGGTGATTTTCAGAGGGCCCCTTCAGATTCCTTACTTTAGAAATTATGTACATAGAGAATGTCTCATGAAATATACATCTAATTTTTAAGTGGGTCTCTAGGAGACACAATCATACACAAGACTACCTTGATGTGATGCAAATGGTACATCCAGGACATGCAATATAAAAACAGGTGCACCCCGGAGAAGATACAATTTTACTGCTTTTATAAACTCAGGCTTTCCCCAAATAATAGCTACTACTCATGCTACTGTAACAGCCTAAAGCATTTCTACTTATTAGGAAGTAATGCAGAAGTATAATTTCATTTTCCAAGAAGACTTTTAAAGCCTCATGATGTAATATGGCAGCTGTGGTTCCAAGAAAACACTTACATTCTGGAGCACTTTTGAGTTTTACAGATTAAATTCATTTACCAATTAAGTTAATAGCCTTTTTATTTTAAAGTGCTAAAATATATATCTACACTAGTATTCTCTAACCTCTTGAACAATTTATCAAAGCCATTTAAATTAGAACAATGGCATGAAGTGTTACCCTTGACACACTACAAAAGAGAAATTGTTTCCAGACAAATTGGCAAAATCTTTTAATGCTATCAAATTTGCCTAATGCAGTCTCCAGGTTAATCTGTAAAAGGGTGAGCTGTATGTTTGCCCATATCTTATTATCCTTAGCTGTCAATGTATAAATCAGTGCTGACACAGCTTCTTCTAAATCATGCATACAATACACAAAGGGGAAGCTCTAGCATGCCAGAAAGCACTCAACCAAATCTTGTCCTACAAGGACTGAAAGGCAAAATACTCTCCTTATACCAGAAGTTGTGCCTTTGCTTTAAACTGGTAATTCCACCCCTCTTTAACGTTGCACATAGTTGCACATACTACACTTGATTCTTGGAAATCTAAGCTGTATCCATGCTCAAACATTAATGACATTTGACTTGCACCCGGGCAAAGTTTTCCTTAAAACTCTACTATATGCCATTGTATCTCAGTTCACAAATCTTCTGAGAATGGAAGGTTTCTCATGAAGAGGTTACTCATAAGTAAGAACAACCAAAATCAAACAAGTCAATAATTTTTTCACCAATGGGTGGATTTGGTGACAGAGGGATGTTTATGGAAAGTGATGTGCCCGCATGAGTGCGGATGAAAAAAATCTCTGCATGCAGACCTCCATTTGTCTGCATATGGTTCAAGATAAACAGTGTCAAAACTGTGCAGGAGCGTAATTTATTTCAGGATTTCTGGACTTGTTTCCTGAACCTTGTTTCTCTCACCCTGCTCATGTCTTTCTCCACTACCTTTCAAGCCCCGGGTACTTGTGCTTTCTGTAAACAGGAAAGGATCTGTTCTCAGCCATGCATCCAGCGACAGGCTGACTTTCTTTAGATGTGATTTCCCATTGTGGCATGTAGTTATTCTGAATTAAAAGAAAAAAAAAATTACGAGAGGAGTCTTTTTTTCCCACTTCTCCAAAAATAATATTCCAACTATTTAGCCAGGCGTAAGGTAAACTTGTTGGTCTTTAGAAAGATTCAGCTAGTAAGGGTGTCAAGTACAACAGAGGCAATAATAGATACTTTCTTGGCAGAGGGCTGCTCACCAGAGGGAAGAAAGGTGGACTTTTCTTATTTTCTGGGAAGAAAGAATCTTCTCTAAATGTGTGTGTGTGTGTGTGTGTGTGTTTTCCTGACCTTTAGTCAACCTACTCGAGCGCAGACTCCTGTCTTCTTCCTTATTTCCTGCCTCTGACCTTCCCCTATGCTTCTGTTCCGATTCAAAATTTCCTCTCTATCTGATCCTTCACTGTCCTCATTTGTGAATTTGTGTTTTGAAGTACTACCTTAATCTCGTGAAAATAATGAGGTTAAAAGAATTATCTTCCCGATCTTGGTGAATATGAATATTTTATGATTCTCTTTTCAGTGGTGGGAGGAAGATGGTCTGATGCTCTGGGAAGCTCCAGACTTGCCTGCTTTGATTTTTCCCCACCACTGGTAAACTTAGTCTTAGCCAGTGAAGTTTGCCGACAGACCACCCGTGTTACGCGGTGTCACTCCACGCCTCACACATGTAGAATTTCACAAGCTGATATGATTTTCTTTAATACTAAAAATAATTTGGCCTAATTTCAGAACTCGAATTATTCTAGTTAGAGGAGACAATATACAATGTTTCTAAACCTAAGTTTTATAAATAGGTATGTTGTGACAAAAAGATTAAATATATGCCTATTTGGCATCCTGAAAAATATAGTTGAAAATATTGTATTCTGATCCATTAAAGTTCTCTGAAGGGATTTCCTCATTTCCTTCTTTAAAATTTGGATACAATACCATGCTTGAGTTATACATATAAAACTTTCCTATTAATTTCACTTTTTTGTGTGTCTAAAGTAACAAATGCATATTTTTCTATAGCATCCAACTAATAAAAATATCTTATTATTGTGTTCTTTTTATGAGAATCAGGACACGAAAAAATATACTTAACTGTGAAATAACACATAACTTAAAAATTCTTCATAATGCCTAAACTAAACAGGATTTGTCTCAGGGTCTCAACAAAATTATTATGACTATGATTCATTTTTGTTATATTTTGTTTAGGTTTAAGTATTAGAAATAATTTAGTTCACATTCATGTTACTATTGTAAGGTAAAACATTACAAAATTTTAGTTGACTTAAAACATACTAATGTGCTTAGAATCAATGAGGGAATAAGAAGATTTCTGTATAGAAGATATCTGATAAAACATGAATCGAAAGGGAGAGAGAAAAAAATGTTGTTAAAGATATGGATAAAATGTCTTCTGTTTATTTCCTCTGTGTATTAAATTCAAGTCAATATGAGTTCACAAATATACAAATATTATATCAATATTACTTTTAAGGAATAACCCAAAATATAACCAAAAATATTAATTATAATGCATATAAAGGGTACAAAATAATATGAAATGCCCCATATAAATAATAACCTTAAATATATATTTTAGCAAGTCATATAATTTCTCTCAGCTTAAAAGCACATCAGTATTAACCTGGGCATTTGGAAACAAAACAAAACAAAACAAAAACAATGAAGGTAAAGATTATTCTGAGAAACACAAACCAATTTACATTGGGAAATAGGCATCTCATTTTTTATTGAAATACTCTACTATAAAGTTATATCTGCTGGAAGAGGCAAAAGATAGGCCTAAGAAAGATGGAGAAAAAAAAGTAGGTTGACATTCAGATTTTATATAGATGAAAATGAGGCTCACAGGTGTTCAACAGCTTACACTTGATAGGTAGCAGGTATTTTGTTAAGCTTTAGTTATAATTTAGATCTATGCATTTCCAAAGCCCATACTCAGTACCCTAATGGGTAAAAAATAAACCCAGGAGGTTTTATCTTTTGTTTTGTTTTATGCTGGGTATTGAACCCAGAGCTCTGTGCCTTTGAAACAAGGATTCTACCAACTGAGCTCTATCTCCAACCCCCCCTAGGAGGTTCTTAATTCTTGAAATGATAATGATCGTGCTTCAAGGATAGCCCAA